AATATTAATCATGTAACAATTCATTTTACTATATTAATAAAGATTGTGAGAAATGCCTCACTTAACATTAAAAAAAAGAGTAATAATTTATTATTTTGATAATATCTTTTTGTATAAAAATATTATAGCCACTTTATACAAGTTGGTTTCCAATTTATAAAAAAAATTTGATATATTCATTTTTTAAATATAATAGAAATGTTCAATAGATGAAGTTGTGTTTTTTAATTTTTTATAGATATTAATATCTAGTCTTATATAAGAATTTGTATTGTCAAAAAACCTTTGTTATTATTATTAACTTTGTTAAAAATAACTAGAATCTTTAATTATTATATGACACTTTTCTAAAATTTTCAAGTGAATTTTTTTCTTAAAAATTTGGGTATCAATAATTGTATAATAATTTCTTAAATATATTTAATGTAGCTATTAACTAGTAAACAATATCAAATTTGATAATAATAAATATATTGATTTTTTAAAGAAGTAAACCATTTGTTTTTTTTTAAAAAACTTGAAAGAAAGAATTTTTATCAAGACTTATATTTCAAAGAGAATTGATGCTTCTTGATAAGTTTTTAAACAAAATCAACTAACTAGAGAGTTAATAGAATAAAAAAAAATTTTTAAAAAAAGAAGAAACCTAGCAAAAAAAAATTTCAAAAAGAAAAAAACCTAGTTTTGGCAAGAAAAAAAAAAAGAAAGTATTCTAAAATTTTATTTCAAAATCAAGATATAACTATAAATAATAGAAACCTAATTTAATTTGATAAGTAAAAAGTAAATTAAGTAAGTTAGAAATAAATCAACTGAAAATTTCTTTAGTAAAAAAGTTAAAAAAGTAATTAAGAATAAGAACTTGATTATATTAAAAATTTTATCTAGGAGTTATTATTTGATATTACTTAAATTTCTAAAATTAGAAAAAAAAAGTCTTTATAAGAAATTTATATGAGAAGTTGATAATTCCTTAATCTATATAAAATATCCAAAGCTAAAAAAAATAGTAATAATACATATGAAGTTTTAAGAATATATTATTTCCTTGGATCGGAACTAAAGAAATATCTTGCTAACTATAAACAATTTATGAAAAAACATGAGGTTCAAAAGAAGATTAATGGAGAGGTTTGAAATTAACTTTCAAGAGAAGTTTTCAAGAATGCACTTCAAAGAATGATATCAATTTCAAATTAATGTTTGGAAAATATCAAATACATAGCATTACAGGCTAGGAAAAATACTAGGCAAACTTAGGCATTTAAGTCCTGCTTTGCAGAATTCTGGGTAAAATATCTGGTCACATTATGATGGTGTAACTCGACCGTGAATGCACTTTTTTAAAGCAAATATTATGCATTGGAAAAATAAAGTACTGTATCATCGCGCTATATAAATTATAGATGTTCGCCGGTATATGGTATTGATAATAATTAAGCTTTTTTAATCATGTGAAATGATAGAGCCTTAGATGACTTACTCCTTTGAGCCACATACTGACTAAAATCCGAAGAGCGAACGAGTTGATAATGATGTTAACGCAGTATCGAATCTGAATGACTCAGTATTAGCTCCAAGCTGATACCTATCTCGACATGAGGGTTTGTCCCGATCTTTTAATCAGTATTACGTAATCTACGTACGTATGTCGTCAGTTTTACGATAAAAGATAAAAAAATAATAATCGGTTAGTAATTTAGTAAATTTAGTACCTATGTCTAACCTCATATCGATTTGCTTTACTGTTCTCTCATATCCTCTAGCATTCGCCTTCGTGTTCGTTGCTTTTCTTGTTATAACTAGTGCAATTGCTGTACTCTCGCCCATTTTGATTCCGTTTGCTGGGTATGATTTTCAATGAATAAATAGAAAAAATATGTATTCTGTGAAAGTTATTTATAACTGATATCGATCAACGTCGTTAGACTTTTTATTCTGCTTAAAGTTATGGAGACATTTCGAACAGTTGAAGATAATCCCCCCGAAACGCTTCAAACTCTCCTCATGTATGAGAAAAACCCTGGTCAAGCGCAAAGGTTTCTTGGTAATTCTTGAAAATGCATGTGGCAATGATTTGATGTTTATTCCTTAACCTATCTCTGTAGCTCGTGTAGGCGAGAACTTCAGGTGGCCTTCCTCGATGCCAGAATGTCATAGAAGGGATGCCCTCGTACAAATCGCTGACGTTGATCTCGAATTTGATGACGATATAGGGTTTAACCTTATATTTTTCTACAATGCACTCGACAGAGGCGAGTTTTCTGGTCATGAAAATGAGTGGGCGACGGTGTACAACCAGAGAGTAGTAGAGTATGGACAGCAGTATAACGATGAACAATTGAACAGCGTTCTCGAAGCTATGCCTAGTGCCATCCAACTCCCAGTTGATCAGACACGTCTGCCACGTAGTAAGCCGGCGAAGATGGTGGTTGTTCAGCGTACTAATAATGGTGGCGACTACAAGGTTTGAATATGTAGAGTAGATTGTAAATTTAGGGTCAGAAGACCCGGAGGAACTAATATTACTGCTCTACTTACATATTATTTTTATGACGGTGCAAATAACAACAAAAAGTATACATCCGTGATTGATACAGGAGCACCAGAAACAATATCAATGTATGTTAAACATAGGCTTGGATGGAGTACAGCATCAAACCTAATTGCTGGAGGTTATGGAGCACCTGCAAGACAAGTTTCCGCGCCTTCGTTTTTCGAGTGACGACAACAATTGGAGTAAGTGGGTTCAAGTAAAAATTCTAATCTGGGAAAAATTTCCCGGCAATCAAGTGTAACATGCCCTTGTTGGTAATGATATTACAGATCAATTGGCATAGGCACATGAGCCAGTGAATCCATTAAAGTTCTTAGATATTGTAGATGAGACTAGACTCCCCACATTTTTGAATGGATGCAATTAATGACCCGAGTTACTAATCACAACCTTGATAAAATGTAATCAACATGGTGTTAAGCCCAATGCAATTAATCAATCTTGCATTCTTAATGTTTCGTCCCTAATTTCATGAGAATTTTCGTAATACAAACTTATTTCCTGGAAAACTAATGACGAGGTGAGGAAAAAAGAAGTCAACCGAACGAAAAAATAAGTAATTATTGACCCCAATCTAACATTTTATCAACAACCGATACTCATTAGATTTGATGAGGTTTAAGGGCTTAAGATCCACTTCCTGATGACTTATAGTCGCTAATTATAACTATGACGTCTTCGGCAATATCATGTATATACTTCGTGATTACGTTCTTTAGCATATAATATTGTTACTCAAACATTATCATATGACATTGAGCCCAGGCCCTATGGGCGCTCTTCAAGCATCTGAACTAAAATTGAATCGCATCATTATATAGTATATAGTTAGTTAAGTCTGATAGGTCCAATAATCCTAAATACGATATAAATCTCATAATCTATAAACCACCACATTATAATTAGGTTGTATAATGGCTAGCTTAAGTGAAAGGCGTGGAACCAATTGTACTGATGTTGAATGGGATGAATATCTGGAGATGAGTATTATTTCATTGAATGAGACTTTTACCGAATGGATGAACTGGATTTGGTCTTGCTTACTGTATTTCAAAGAGAATGACCTCTTACAGGAAGTTAATAACATATTGATCGGAAGTTAATAGATTTTATAAAAGCTATGCACTTGAAATTGATATTGCTATCTTTTTCTCTTGTAATCAATTGGTATATATTAGAAAACAAACCAACAATATTGAAAATTATAATTATATAGAAATGGAAAGACATTGGGCTTCTCATTGTATGAAAATACATATTGTGAAATAAATTATTAGTACTTATTGAAAATCAAGCAAAAATCTATTTCAGGATATGATTTCAATAACAAATATGCATTATACAATTATGAATTGTAGATACAAAATGCTATTAAAAGGATTAAGCATGCCAGAGAGATTGGCAAAAAAATTTGAACTGCATATCACAGAAATGTATTGAATATATGTATAAACCTGATGATCTCTGTACTTCAGATTAGTATTATATTATCAATAATTATAAACAATTTAAGAAGAAATATGACAAGCTAATAACGTATAGCTTTGTAATACATATATCATATCTTTTTATGATTCTATCACTTGAAGTCAAAAAATAAATACAGAATGTATTACAAACAATAGATAACAATGCATATCTTTTTTCAAATATAGCTTAAGTATTAATATTTAAACTTTTATTTATTACTATTAATATTTAAACTTTTATTTATTACTATTTTATATAACATTATCATATTTAATATTTTTGCTTTTTTTTTTTTTATTAAATATTTATTTTCAAACAAAAATTAATAATTTTTATAATTTTTTCAGAATTAGTTTGACCTGAAATTAAATATATAAAGGGCTATTGAGACATAAAATTCTTGTTATTATATTTTTTTAAATTTTTGTATTTATTTATATTTAGTACAAATCTTTCAACTAGTTAACTTTTTTATTTTTATTTTAATTATTATATCAAAAAAATATTAATCAAATCAAATAAGTATTTAAGTTTATTTTTTATATAATAAATAATTCTTTTCTTGTAATTTTCTTTTTATTTAGAAAAATAAATCTACATCAAAGTTAATTTCAATGAAATCTATATCTTTTCTTTTATATATATATTACTTTTTTGATTACATGTCTATTAACTATCCAAGTATATTTTGTCCCACTTATAAAATATTAAATTTTTAAAAAATATTATAACACCTAAAATTTATATATTAATTTTAATTTATTATTTTTTTTTAAAAGCTAAGTTGCGATACACACATGGATTTTATTGATGTTTTCAGTTACAATCACAATTACCTATATATGAATGATCTACTAGCTATTGCTAATATTAATATTAATTTTTTATTATATCTATTTAATTATATTTTATTTAAAAATAACAATTTATAAATTGAAAATTTCTTATTTAACAAATTCTCAAAAATATATTAAGATTTATTTATTTATTTATTTTTTAAAGTGAAACGTATACAAGGCATGTAATTTTTATTGATATCCAGACAGACACCAAGTATCTCTACAAATTAACTGAAAATTGGTAATACATGGATATCCGTTATGTCTCTATAGCTAATTTGTAGATTAATACTGCATTAGTACATATAGTGCTATAAGACTAGCTATGCCAATTACTTATACTCAATTATGCATTTATTTAAACATCTGGAGATATATGTCTACACGTCAGGTGAGACTTTTCACAGAGGAATAATTCTATCACTAGTTTAAAACCCACCTAATATACTAAGTCCATATTGCAAAAAGCAATGTAATATGGAATGTTATTATAGAGATTAATCTCAATTATTCCAATCATCTGTTATTACTGATTCTCGGGATGTGCCACTAGCATAGTGCAGCACTACCATTTTCACCACCTGTGGAACTGGTGTTCTTGCTTGAATTTCAATTTAATCTTAACAATTCTTACCAGACTCACTTGATTTTAATGATTTTTGTCTGAATTGTTATCTCCTGTAACCAATAATCTTTTGCTTTTTTAGTTCATTTAAGTTCATATGAACAATACTCATGGGATAGATCCTCAAGCTCCAGATTGAAATAGATCAGTTTAGGATTAATCTCTTTGGGTTGTGTGACGAAGTCTGCCATCACCAGTTTAGGTTGAGATTTTGTAGGCTTTTACCAGAATTAAACCAGAAATCTTTTCTTGTGCAACCTTTTGTACTTCAATCTATTAAATAAACAATACTAGCCTGATTGCAAAAATAAATAAATAAATATATATATATATATAATATGTAATTATTATATTAAATATTTATTTAAATTAATATTAGCCTATTATATATAAAGCTTTTAATATAGTATTATATCAAGTAGATAATATTACATCAAAAATGATTTATAAATAATTATACTTGTTTATAAATAATTTAATTAAAAAATAAAATAATAAAAATTTTAATAATTGTATTTTGAATATATTGTTTAAATATATAAAACTATAATAACAATTATTTTTGATTTTTAAATATTTAATTAAATTTTGAATATTATTTGAATTCATAAAATTATATAATAACTGTTTAAAAGCTAAGTAAAATATATAAAAAATTCAGTATTTTTATTTTATTTTTTTTTTTGAGTAGGTAAACACAATTTCTTTATTTATTCGTATATTACAAGATATACATTTAGAAAAAAACAACATCTCTCACATGCGATTGGCAGTGAGTTTAATGCTAGCCTGCCTACAGTAATCACTTAACTTCTACTAGAAAAGACATTTTAAAACTAGTATACTAATCAAATGATGCCGAGCAGCTATGTATGCCTACTTAGAATTATTGAAGAGAAAAATAAAATTAACTAAAACTAAAATGAAATCGAATAAACTATAAGATTTATGAGAAAAAAAATTATATTTTTAAGAGAACCCCTGGCCAGGCTCGTTGTCCTGTCTTTCTGGTTCCTTTCGACTTGTAGATATAATCTTTGTTGATATGAATAATAAAGTATATATAACTTGGTTTATCGTTATAGTTGCTGTTATTATTGTGTTGATATGATTGGTGGTTGGTAAAACGAAATTGAATAAACTGTAAGATCTATGAGAAAAAAAATTATATTTCCAAGAAAACCCCTGACCAGGCTTATTGTCCTGTCTCTCCAGTTCCTTTCGACTTGTAGGTATAATTTTGGTTGACATAGATAATAAAGTGTATATGACTTGATTTACTATTATAGTTGTTGTTGTTGTTGTGTTAGTGTGATTGGTGATTGGTAAGATGATTGGTCTGCGAGTTGGTGGTATGATCTTGTTTTAATTGTGGTTGTCAAAATTGATTTTGTTTATGTTAATCATTGTGTGATGTTTTGATTATACGAATTTGTTTGGATAATTGGTAATATCTGATTGGTTGGTTTTAAGGTGATGATCAGTTGACAGGAGTAAACTGATTATGGTTTTTTGGTAGGAAATTTTTTGTGTAGAAATTTTTTGGTTTTTGTGATGCAGCATATTGTGCTGAGCGATAGTAAGAAGTGAATATTGTGTATACTGCTGGTGCTCCAAACCAACAATACAAACAATAGTAATGTAAGATTTGATATTTTGAAGTAAAAAATAGCTCTCCAAGAACAAAAAATGGTTATTTAATAAGAATTGTTTTTTAATAAGAAGTGTAAATGGGAGGAACCTC